GATGCATTTGTAATGTCAGCAGCATCTAACTCAGAAGGAATTCCATACATGCTGGCTAAGCTGAATTTGCAGGTAGACAGAAGTGCTAATCTGAGGGCTGTCTGGAACTCTCACGTGGGAGCGGAACTTGAATTGGCTGCACTTCTGCAACGATCTCTCTTTAATTCAGTGGTTTGGAACCTCAACTCCCTCTGCAAGCTGGGCCAACTCTACAAATTATGTTAATTAAACCCCTCTCTGACCTGGCACCATGTGATTTGCCAAGAGGAGATGTTTTTCAGGATTTCTACTTCACACTTTTTTAGCTAAAAGATTCTGGTCATTCAGAGCAGACTTATTGTCCTTTCTGCCTGGATGAAAAGACAAGGCTGGGGACTGAAACAGAGCCTCATTCCTCTGAGAACACCTGCACCAATAGAAGTGGACGAAGTTCCTTTTAACTGAAATAAACCTAGACTAGCTTGGGGTTTGCGTTTCCCTTTGGATGCAACACTGTTTTCCCCTCAGTTACTGTCCTCTTGTTGAGCCCAGCTTTTCTCCCTAGGTTTCTCCTCTTACTCCTTCTTATCTCTTTTTTTTAATATTGATTGATTCTGAGAGTAAGACTCATTAATAATTTAATGCATGTAATTTAGGTTAGGAAAGTTAAATGCTTTCCCATACCATGCTTTAATAAATAGCAGGGTTTAAGTAATTAACTGAATGTGGTTGTTTTGCCCTCTCTCTCCTTCACTGCCCTGGAAGGTTTATATCTCTGTAATTTTGCAGGGACACCCTTGCTTCTAGAGAAGCAAGGAGCAAGAAGGCTTTTATTGAAGTACAGAAGTATTTTATATTAATGAAATGGTTGTACCCAGTTGAGGAGCAGCACATATATGGGGTTGGGGGTGAAGCTCAGTGTTAGAGCATTTGACTCACATGAAGGAGGCCCCTGAGTTCAATCACCAGCACTGCAAAAATATCAACAATAAAAAATAAATGAAATTAATTCTCTATATTCATGGGACTATTTGCTGAACTTATTATCATCCATTAAGCATTTTCATGACGCTGTTTGCCCACCAAGTTTCATCAGCAATATCTCTTATAGTTAGAAGTGTTGGGGAGATATTTATATTGTTCATGGCTTTTGGTAAATCTCTTAAGAACTTTTTTTGAGTCTCTATAAATCACTAATTTAACATGAACTTGATTTCATTTTACCGTGGATATGAAATGAAGGACCCTGTCCACAGTGACCAGGCAGGCTCTGAGACAGAATAGTAGATTGTAAGTAGAAAGGATTCACTGGTCAAACAGTCTTTGACCCACAGTTTTTGATTGTCGTGATGACTGTCCTGGGCCAGCCCAGCTTCAATTATCAGAAGCATTGACTGTCAGAGATTCACAAAGAACAAAGCTCACTAACATTGAACTATGCCACTTCCTGGCCCCTTGCTGCAGGGAGCCACCTGTCTCTTCTATCTTTATACTTGCTTATGCATTTAATTGGTTTGGTATTTATGACTGCAAAGGTGCAAATTTTGTTTTATTATTATGTAGACAGTCTTAGCTAAGATATTAGAAAGATAACTCATCTATTGGTTCCTTATTTGATGAATCTGCCCAATTTTTATTAAATGCTTAATATGAGTCAGGGCTTGTGTGGCTCAGGGAGAGAGAGAGAGTTCTAGCTGTCATGCACCTGGCAGCTCATATAAAATACAGACATTAAATAAGTAAACATGCAAGAAGTAGCCTCCAAGCTGCAACCAGAAATAGGCTGGAGTTAGCCAGGTGGAGAGGAAAAGAAATGACTTGTAAGGTAGAAGGCACTGTTGATTCCAAAGGGTGAGGCTTCAGAGTGCTTTAGGGCATGGATGGATGCCAGGGTGACCAAAGCATGGTGAGCAGGGGCAGTGGCACTGCACGAAGCTTGTGAGCCAGTAAGGGAGAAGACAGGCTCCTGTTGGGTGGTTAAGTAATAATTAACTGTGGAAGTCCTCTGACCTCTTGAGTCCATTTTCTTCTTTTCCCATCTCACATTTCCATTGTTTCGTCTTTTAGCTTCAGATTTCTTCCTCAAATGCTGTTTGAGACCTAAATGAAGATTTAGACCCTGGAGGTACCAAGAAATTTAAAGGCTATAGTGACAAATCTATAAGGACATATACTTTAAAATGTGTTACCAGTAAAGAAGCAGAAACTTTAAAATATTCAGGCAAACCCTTCTCCACTGTTGGTGGGAGTGTACACTCTTACAACCATTGTGAAAATCAGTGTGGAGATTCCTCAAAAAACTAGAATTAGAGGTCCCATTGGACCCAGCTATTCCCCTGCTGGGTATGTTTCCAAAAGAATTAAAAGAATCTTACCACAGCAATATTTGCACACCCATGTGTATAGCGGCACAGTTTGTAATAGTTAAATCTTGGAAACAGCCCAAATGCCTGTCAACTGGTGATTGGATAAAGAAGATGTAGTTTTTAAAAAAAAAAAAAAATGGAGTACTACTCAGCCATAAAGAAAGACAACCTAGAGACATTTATAGCTAAATGGATGCACCTTGAGGCCATACTTTTAAGTGAAATAAATAGGACATACATGTGTAAATACTGAATTGTTTCTCTGGTGTGAGAAACTGAAAGTGTAAATGAAGACTAAAATGCATAATAAATATTGAGAAATAGGAAAAAAAGGTTCAAAGGGGAAGGGCAACTAGGGAGGGGAGGCAGGGAAAGGAAAGAAGGGAAAGAAAAAAAATGAAGAAAGAGGGAAAAAATAGAAACCAAGCTTATACAAATAGGGAGGGGTGAAGGGGTTGAAGGGAGGGCAGGGGGATGGGAAAAGAATAAGAACCAAGATACATCATGTGAAGGTACAAATTTTCAATGATGGATGTCATCATATTGTGTACCTAAAATGTACCAAGAAGCTTAATGAGTAAAAAAATAAAATATTCAGGCACAGCATCAGTATTCAGTAGTACATAGGAAGTGAATGAATAAGCAGAGCATGGGATTGGGACCCATAGACTAGGGGTCTTTTTATGGACTTACGTAACTCTGTACAGCTTTGGGAAACCAGCTACTTTCTATGAGCCTCAGTTTCCACTGAGATATATAAAGGAGGTTGAGCACATTTTAAGTAGCTTTTCCAGCTCTACCATTCTATACCTCCTTAGAACCTACTAGTGTTTGATTTAAAAAATAATAGAACTAAAACATTAAATATTTACTTGGAAGTTCACATGTATTAGCTTACTTAATTCTGATTACCCTAGGATGTAGGTGTCATCACCTCTGTTTTATGGATGAGGAAATGGAGCCTTAAGAAGGTTAAGGAACCTGGCCTGAATTACAGCTAGTGCTGAGTAGAAGTTGAGCAGAGAAGGTATGTCTGATCCAACAGCCAGTACTCCTAGCATGATTGACTCTGAAGGGTAGCATTGGGCCATCTCAAAGTGCCCGGGAATATAAATAATTAGGCAATAAGCATTCTCTAATTTCACAGTTTCTCACCAGTCACAAGGAGTCATTGATATGGAATGAAACTAATCTTCTTGATTAAATGTATCCAACCAACACTGAGCTCAGAAGGGATTGTAAGATAGATAAAGCACCCTTATGCTCTGTTTTGTATTCCAAAGAACTCAAACTCCTTATGTCATCCTCCTCATTCTCCTTAGGGAAGAAGTCACCAGATAGCTACTCACTCCCCTTTGAGAAGTAACACATTCTGTCTCTGAGTGCCTCAATACACATGTAATGAATGAATGTTTCATCCTTACCTACATTGTAAGAAAGTACAGCACTTTGTAAAAAGTCATATCCAAAATACAATTTTTATTTTGAGACTGGGTTTTATCATATAGTCCTTGGCTGGCCTTGAACTTGCTATATAGCCTGGACTGGCCTTGAACTTGAGGTCCTCTTGCCTGAGCTTCCTATGTGCTGGAATTGCATGGATCATCACACCCAGCTGAAGAAACAAATTTTAATGTTAAGCTTGTTTAGCTTTTTAAGTTTCAGTTTAATATATGTTTACTTGAGAGTGTGAGCATTAATAGAATATTAAAATAATATTTACCTGAAGATTTTTAAAGAGTTTACTATTCAGCAGGTTAAAGAATCATCAAGGTCAAGTTGAAAGGAATGGCAACAATCATCTGAATCAGGCCTGTCCAATACAAATAGAAAAGGAGATATACATATGTCATTTTAGATTTTTTATTAGCTACATTAAAAAAATTAAAAGGTGGAATTAATTTTAATAATATATTTATATAAGTTAGTATATCAAAGAGTTATTTCAACATGTAATCATTGTAAAAATTATGAATGAGGTTTTTTTTTAATACTGTCTTCAAAATTCAGTGCGTGTATTAACGCTTGATGCATACTTTAGCTTGACTAATTACATTTCAAACCCTTGATAGTCATGTGTCGCTAGTGGCTACTGCATTGGATAGTGTAGATCAAATTCATTACTTAGTTTTTCTGGGGGAATGAGATGCTAAGAGACCTGGCCAGGGTGACCCACCTTGAAACTGGCGGCCAGAGCTTTGAAGCCAGCTTCTCAGATTCCCTGACAACGCTTACTCTCTAATACCACAATGTCTTTTAATAGCAGTTATGTTAACAAAGTATAGTGTTTTCTTGGTTGCAGTTTTTTAAAAATTTGGTTTTCTTAAGACTAGAGACCCATAATTAATATTATTAAACCTTAGTTATACAAAGCAATTGTTCAGAAAAATCACTAAAAGTAACACAGGTATGTGAAATACTAATTCCAGGCTGAAAGCATTCTGTTAATTTTGTTTCTAAAATAAGCTGATAAATTATTTGTTTAACTTTCTAGATGGAAGGAGCCAATTTTACAGCCGGGCAGTTTAATTTACCTCATAGGACATAAAAGTTACCCTTTTACTTTGTGGTTTAAAGCTATTAATACAGATGTTTCAGGATAAGTCCTAACCATATGAAATTATAGATAGTTAAATAATTTTCTTTAATCCTTAGACTCATCACCAACCAGCCATTCTGAATTCATCTTCTCTTCGGGAAATTGCGGAAGGCACCTATATTTCCGAAATGTGGCAAAATGACTTACAACCTTTGCTGATAGAACGGTATCCAGGATCCCCTGGAAGCTATGCTGCTCGTCAGGTGAGAACACAGCAACCAATCTAAAGGGCGTTCGATCAATACTTTGCTTTCCCACAAGGGGTAATGTTATGGCCGAAGTTCTGAGTTGTCTACTATCTTGATCAGTCATCTTATTATTTGCCATCATAAACAATGAAGAAAGTCAAATGACGGAGAAGAAATGTCCTGAGTTAAATGATATCTGTTGATCTAAACAGGTTTATGTGTGGAATCTCTGTCTGAGGTACAACATTGGAGAAGGTACTAAGTCCTCATCTTTTGACCATTTCAACAACATACCACTATATCTCTTAATCTAGCTTCTTGGATCCTAAAAGCCTGACCTCAACAGTTTCTGATAGTTCTTGCTGACAGTTCTGGACTAAGAGTGAGTCACTGTACTGTCACTCTTCATTCCTGGAAAGAAGTTGTTTTCTCTCCTAATGAGCCAGGGATAAAGTATTTCTGGAGAGCAGAGCTCCTCAAATTTCTGACTGTGACTCATAATAAAAATATAGTTTTATGCACACAGGCATACAAATACATTTAACTGAAACAAAAATTTTATGAAAGAGTTTCATTCTTATTACCCGTAGTTTACTTCAATGTTGTTAATTCTATTTTGCTAGTTTTTAAAAATGCCAGTCATGACCCCCTAAATTGATTTCAAGACCTACCGATTTTAACACTGCCATTTGGAAGACACTGCTGGTAGAGGGTAGAATGATGCATAAGCTGGGCATGACTTTGAATTTCTCTTTGAGTCCTTAGTGTCAGGTCTTTCTGAGCAACCTGAAATGCCACCTCTGAATTTCTGCTTTATCAAACTAGCCCATCAAAGGACAGCTTGGGAAGGAATCAGCTGGTACCTCAAACCCTTCTCTGAGACCACTCCATCTGCTCAGCTTTTCAGGCAAAAATTCTTGGCATCCACTGTTGTGCCCAGAGAGACCTGCTAGGCCCACCTATCTAACTAGCTCTTGGGCTTCTCTTTTTTGCCTAACTTCTGGTTTCTGTGACTAAGAGGACCGTAGTTCTTTTTAACCTTTAGGTAGACTAAAGCAATAATGATGATGGCTGATTTTTATAGACCACTTTTACATCTCATTCAGCCTTCATAACAATGTTACCGTGTGTGTGCTATTATCCCAATGCCATGAATTTAAAAAAAAAAAACAACAAACCTGAGGTTTAGGTGTCAGATTTTATTTACTCAAGGGTATGTGAATAGTAGTGATGAGGCCAGCTTTGGACCCAAATCCAAATGTATATGATTTCTTGTCCTATTGCTCGAGAGCTTGGGGGAACCAGCACACTCACATAGCCCCAGCTCTGGGTCTTCTTATGCCCACATTGGTTTCTGTGCCTCAAGTGAGGTGTGTAACATGCATTTTGTCAGTGTTCTTGGGGCCTTATCTTCCAAACATTTTCTTAAATGAGGGTCATAGCTTTTATTGGCACTTTCCAAAATTCTCAATTCTTCATTTTTTGAAAAATCTAGGTCCATGAGGCTCAGCCATTTTCATTTTCCCATACCATCTGCTCAGAGGGCCATCTATAAGCAGAAATATATATGCAGCTTCAGCCTGACTTCCTTAATTGTGACCTCGTGAATCCATAAACCCAAGAAACAGTGTTAAAGCTCTAGCTTCAATAGAACATATAGCACCAATAGTACACAGAGGTACTGTTGTGATTAAAAAGATACACATTAATGTAAAAGTGTTACTGAATCCACAATAACATTTTCTGTTGTTCTGTAGAGCTAGAAACAAAGGAGAAATTAATGACAGTATTTTAGATTGTGATGGGAGCTAGGCTGGGCTACCTCTTCATGGTCAGGCTGACGTAGCGGTACATCAGAACAGGATGGTTGTGTCAGGAATGTCATTAAAGAGATTCAGATTGGTACATTTTTTGTGGTTTTTTAATTTAATTTTTATTTTTTTAAGATAGGGGCTTGCTATTCCAGGCTGGCCTTGAACTCACTATGTAGCCCAGGTTGGCCTCAAACTCATGTTGATCCTTCTGCCTCAGGCTCCCGAGTGCTAGGATTACAGGCATGTGTCACCATGCTTATACATTTTTGTACATTTTTTTTTTTTTTTGGTACCAGGGATCAAACTCAGGTCCTTGCGCTTGCGCAGCAGGTGGCGAAACCACTGAGCTAAATCCCCGGCCCCCATTTTTGTACATTTGAAAGAAAATCACTGTTAAGATTTAGAGATCGGTCCCCTACGTTGGGGAAGACAAAGGACTTCCTCTTTTGAAAATGAGGTGGATGACAGTTATTGTGAGGGAAGTACACTAATAGACTTCCTTTGACTAACAGTTCTGAGCCTTTTACTCAGAACTGAATTTAAGCAAGAATGATAACAGTTATTCTCCTGAGGCGTTTTTGAGACTGGATCAAATGTTCTATAATTCTTAAAGTGACAGGATTATAACTAGATGAGACTCTCAATTCTAAAAATACTGTGGATTTGATAAAATTGTTAAAGGAGTTAACTTTTGCCATAAAGGTGCTCATTCCTATGAATTCTTCTTTAGAAAAGGGACATTTGGGGGGAATCATACCTCACAATCAGAATTACTATTAGATTACTAAAATATTTTTATTTGAGATTATAATTCATAAAATAAGTAATTTGAAAGCATTTCATTTTGGAAGTATTTCAGTGATTTCTATGACAGGAATAAAAAATAAATTTAAATGGTGCCTCACAAGTGCAAGGTCCTGAGTTTGATCCCCAGTACCAAAAAAAAAATTTAAAACTCAGCATGACAAAGTCTTTTGATGGGACAAACAACATCCTTTGTCTACAAAGTGCATTGAGGACCCGAAAGGGGACTTGTTCAGTGAGAGATGCATGTGTTCCAGGGTACATGTGTGGGGTGCCCTCAGCTTGGAGCCCCTTCTTGCTATGGTACGTCCAAGAAGATGTACCAGAAGTCCATGTGGTAGGGCTCAGCATCCTGCAGGTTTTGTGCAAATACTAGGGAATCTACTTCCCCCAAACAACTATGGTCTATTGATGTCACTGCTTCTCTGAATCTAGAAATTAGGATTTCAATTAAGTTAGAGCCGGCATCACCCAGTACTGTTTACCTAGAATAAATCTCTCTCACCCTACCCCACTGGGAAGTAGAATGTCATATAAAGGTGTCCTCATCTCTATCTTTATTAAGCCTGAAGGGCCTGGCTTTCCGTCCTTTGGGCTAGGGGAGCACAGTTGCATTCGACCTTAGGGGTTTTCTAGCAGTGAAAGAAGTGGTTTGGGGAACTTCCTGTAGAGACTTGTAGTGGAAACTCACAGACTAAGTCTGAAAGCCAAAAACAAAACGAGGAGTATTGGTGACCTAATTAGACTTTGAAGCCAATTTAATTGTTTGTAATGATTATTTATCTTAGTTGCTAAGATAAATAAAAATACAGCTCTCATACCGAATACAAAAAGGTCACTCCAGGGAGAATCCTTTTGGCAGCACTTGTTGATTTTTGTGTGTGGAGTTTCGTGTCCATGTGGACATCAGAAATAATGGTAAAGAGCTGGTTAGTAGTTGGGGAATGAGTTTGTGTGTAACACTTCTGGGCAGTGCTAACAGACACACTTTTTAAAAATGTGAGTTTATTTGTAGGCTACTACTGTTGTTGAAGAAGGCATTTTATGGAGCAGTTCACCATCTGGCCACCAGATGTTCTGGAGTATATGCTTTTTAAAAAAGATTACCCCTTTTATGGATTTTTAAAATAATGTGTAGGGACTTTGAGAGCCCACAATTAAGGAAACCAGACTGGAGATGCATTTTCATATTCTTTGGGAAAGCTTATCTTAGATGCACAGTCATTTCTCTCTGTTCAAGCAACTAATGTTCCATGTCATAGAATTTTATATATCTTACTGCATCAACCCATACTTACTGTTACAATCAACCCATATTTACTGAAAGCCTGCTGTGAGCCAAGCACTGTGCTAAGAATTGTGGAGAATAACATAATAGGTGAGATACGAATCCTGATTTTGTAAAAGGTTATAAACATTTCTTTTGATGACATGAAAAGACAACATATAAGGTTGTAATAGAAAAGATAAGGTATAAGCACACACAGTGCTTTGCAGGTCAAAGTCCACTCTCTACCAAAAGCAAAGAATGACAGATAGGAGGGGGAACTGAGATGGAGGGGTGAAGAGGAAGGGGAGGACAAGGGAAGTAAAAAGAATTAAGATGTTTCTTATATATATTCCAATTCCCCACAATGAATATAACCATTATACACTGCAAACATGTACTAATAAACATTAAAAAAAAAGCCCAAAGCAAAGAATGAATGAAGAGCTGTAGAATCATCTGTTTATTTGGCTTCATCAGGGCTGACTGTAGAATCAGTTCTACCCCCACCCCCAGGTTTTCCTCTCCCTGGAAGCTTCCTGCTATAGTTTTTCCAAGGTCCTTGCCTACGTGTCATGTCACATTAGCGAGCAGCAGGCCATGGCAGTCTTGGCTAGGACAGAAAATCCTGTGTTTCCTTGGAGGAAAAAAAATCTCCCATTTGTTTCCAGTTATTGTAAGTTATTTGTTCATCATCTCAAGGTCCATCCCTACTGGATGTTAATTGTGGGACAAATTGTCAGTTATTCTGAGGGTTAGTTTGTTTCTTGGGTTTTTTAATTAAGGCAACTTACAAATACATATATATATATACAATATCTGGGGGGATAGAGTGAGAAAAATGGGGCCAAGGGAAAAAAGGATTGAAAAGAATAAATAAAACAGCAGTGAACTCATAACTTCTTCTCCATCTCCTTCCTCCTTTCTCCTTTTCCTTCTTCTGTTTTGTTTTTGTTTTTGTTTTTCAAGACAGTCTTGCTACTTAGCCCAGTCTGGCCTCTAACTGGGAAGCCTGCCTCAGCTACCTGAGTGCTGGGATTACAGCATGTGCTACCTTACTTGACTCAAATTTTAGGTTCTTAGGGAAGATACTTCCAGTCCTTGAAGTCCTTTTCCACCTACTGTTCCCCTTCCCTTAGCCATTGTGTTTCCCATAAAACCCGAGTGGCCAGGAAAGATTGCAAAAAAGATTCTTTTATATTTTTATCAGCATTATCAGTGGATCTGGACCTGCTTACATACAGATAGGAAGCTTTTTATATGTACTATGGTTCAGAGTTGTTGTTGATTCTCATAATGGATAAGGACTTCAAACATCCCCTATCCATTCTTTTGTTAGCCCATAGGATGTTTCTTCATTATCCTTGGCTGGTGGTGTCAATATCTTCTGTCAGTGTTCATAACATATGAAGCATTCGCTGAACTTGGGGACACTTGCTGTGCATTTGGGGCAAAAAGATCTACATTTTGCAATTATTAGCTTTGAAGAGCTTAGACTAGACATGTGTAGAACTCTGACTTCTCAAGCAGGCTTTCTTGGGCTCCTAAAAATATTAAAAGTAGATTTTAATACTACTGACCTGGATTTCTATGTCACTTGACTTCTGGGTATGTCCACGATGCATTGTTCAGTAAGAAAAGTAAGAGGCAGAATAACATGTAAAGTAAGATTCTTTTCTTTAAAAAACTATATTCCTTTGCTAAATATGTGTGTTTATATATTAGTATAGGCTTGTACAAACAAGGAGAAGATACGTGTTGGATCTACATCCAACTATTAGTATTGGTTGATGTTTAACAATTAGCTGGGATTGATTAGTAGGAGGAAGTTAGGGGAGAGGGAAAAGATTATCTTTCCTTTAAATAGGAAAATTGCTATTAATTATAATAGCAATTAATAACAATATTATTCCTATTAATAGGTATAATAAGCATGCATTACAACTTTAATTTGAAAGACTTTATGTATAATTTTAAATACATAGTTAACAAATAAAAACTATTTATATATGAAATTTTGGTTTTTGTTTTAATCAGCACATCATGCAGCGGATTCAGAGACTTCAGGCTGACTGGGTCTTGGAAGTAGATACATTCTTGAGCAAGACACCCTATGGGTTCCGGTCTTTTTCAAATATCATCAGCACTCTTAACCCCACTGCCAAACGACACTTGGTTCTCGCCTGCCACTATGACTCCAAATATTTTCCCCATTGGGACAACCAGATATTTGTGGGAGCCACTGACTCAGCTGTGCCCTGTGCAATGATGTTGGAACTTGCTCGTGCCTTAGACAAGCAACTCCTTTCCTTGAAGGTATCTACTCTCCTTTTGTTGATTCCTAGAATAAAATACATTAGCAGCAACTCAAAGTGAATTCTAAAATCCTTGGGGGAATGAGAATGCCACTTGGAAATGGAGACCTTTGGATACATTTTTATAATTTTTACAAAATGATATGAATTTGAAGGAATATTAATTGGAAGCTCACATGATTTAAAATGTCAACTGGGGGCTATACACCTAATATATGACGTTACATTCATTAATTGGGACCTAATTTCTCAGCCTTGGATATGTATTAAATTAAATGTGACATTTCTTGGCAAATAATGAAAAAGAAGGAAGGTTGGTATAGGTTTAAGTAGGAAAATTATGTTTTAGAATGAACTATGTTTATTTCTTTCTCCTTTATGCAGCACAAAGCATTACAATCTTCTGATCTGAGAGGTGGCTCTTGAGTTGGGGGGAGGGAGATGCAGGAAAGTGGTTCTAAAGAGAGAGTGGGTAATTCAGACACATCAAGATGAAAAGCATGAAGCAAAAATGCATTATTGTTATTATCTGTGGATCTCGGCTCAATTTTATGTAGCATAGCAGAGCTTTTGTTATGCTCTCAACTCAAAATACTTCTGGGACTCTCAGATGTTATTTCAGTCTCTATGTTCTTAAGGGTCTATTGAAAAAAAGTGCTAAACTAGATGAAGACATTTTGTTCTGATATCACTCCTAATCAAGTAAACACAACAAAGCAAAAACAGAAACTTTGTTCACAGGTAACAAATGCCTTTTTTTCCCCTTAGAGCTTTATGAAGGGTCCAACTTTTGATACAATGTGGTGAAACAGTAAAAGGTTTATCTTGTAATGAAAGGAATAGAGATATTTGATTCTATTTTTGCTGGATATTTTGAGCTTGAAGAAAGCAAGAATTGTTTATATGCTCTCAGTATACTTTTCACAGTTTTTTCATTTTGTTTTGTTTTCTGAATCTCTCATAATGCCTTTGTCCCATCCATACCCTGCTTTTAACATGCATCTTTCCCTGGCAATTGGAAGAGGGAGTTTGAAAGTTGATATGAAACTTAATTTTTCATATTTGCATTTCTAATATAAGGACATGCAGTGAAATGAAGTATGATTTAAAGGCATGGTTTTGTGTAGTGAGTGTGTTTTCTCTTGGTAAACTATTTTACCTTTCCCCATATAGTTTACTCTTGCTTTTGGTGATCAGAAATAGAAAGGGCTGAATGAATTGTTTGGTGGGGAATCCCATTAAAAAATTTGAGTAAAGGGCCGGGGATTTAGCTCAGTGGTTACACCACCTGCCTTGCAAGCACAAGGTCCCAAGGTTGATCGCTGGTATAAAAAAAAAAAAAAAAAAATTTGACTCAACATGTACATTCCCTTACCTACCTTTTTTTCTAGAGGTAAAGGATGATGTGGACAGATTTTTAAAAAGGGTTATTCTTGAATGCAGAATTGGAGAGTATCAGACTTATTCTTCTAGGTGTATTTTTTTTTTTCTTTTTCTGTACTGGGGATTGAACTTGGGACCTTGCGCTTGAGAGGCAGGCGCTGGAACCACTGAGCTAAATCCCCGGCCCTATTCTGTGCATATTTTAATTAATTTTGTATTAAGGATTTATTATAAGTTCTTCAGCTATTGTGGATTGGGAAGGTGGTGGTGGGTGGGAAGTGACCTGGGAGAGGGCTGGAGAGTAGACTATATTATTGTTCCAACTCTTTGCAGCCCTTCCTCTCTCCAATAATAAGACTATAATTACACACCCACGTCTGGCTTGTAACTTTGCTGTGTCCTCTCAGTGTAGCCAGTTGCACTTCCTCGTCTTTGACTCTGGATTTGCTTATTTGATTTGGTCAATGGAATGTCATTGGATGTGACAGGAGGTTGGAAATGAGCTTGCTGTCTGTATCTTTGCCATCACCTCGAGAAAGGCATGCTGTAGCTGGCCTGCCAGTCCCAGGGGGAGGATAAGAGACATGTGAAGCAGAGCCAACCTTGCTGACGGCTGCTCGAAGCAGAGCTGCTGCGGACAAACCTAGCTATGCCAGTCGCTCCCCAGGTGACTCACAGAGGTTATGCATCCCACTAACATGTATAAGTATTGTTTTAAGCCACTGAGTTTGGGGTATTAGCTAAGCTGTACAGTCTTGGGTCGAGAAAGACTGCAGGTAACTCATTGACTGTACGAGCTTTGATAGCTAGGCATTTATAACATTACCATGAAGACCTTCACAAATCAAGTCATGCAAATTCTTCTAACTACAAGGTGCAAGCCTGAGCTACTAGAAATTGAAAGCCACGGTTATTTTCCTGTCAATCCTGAAAAGAAGCAAAAAAAAAAAGCACGTTGCCTCATGGGACTCAGGGTTAGTGCTCATAGCAGTCTCCCCCCCATCTAAATGAATTGATGCTAAGAGAAAAGAATTAAAGTAACTCATTGCACTGATTATTGGAGTCACCCAGATTTGAAAATTCAGTGAGGCACCCTAACCTTCAAGCCCGAAGAAGATGCAAACTGCCCTCTTTTGGCTCCGCTCTGGGTACGGACAGAATGCCTCTTATCCCAAGCTGTACCATTCTGCTTTTGTTTTGTGGTCATGCTGTTTGACCTGGAGGTAGAACTTTGTAAACACTAAGGGCTGTTTAAACAACTGGAAGTTTAGAATGTCTCCACTGAAGTCTGCGCCTTATAGCTCTTCCCAATAAGAAAAATCTACTCAGCTGCTTAATGCTTATCGAACCTGGAGTGCACGTATATTTCCCAGATACTGTACATCCTTTGCTTAATGCTCTCAAGAGTTATGAAGAATTAAAAGTAAAATAAGATGTCTTTTCCAGTGGTATAATTGAGGAGCAATATTAAGATAATTGAAATGTTTAGCATACAAAAATTACATAAGTTTTCAGAGAATAAAGACTTTTTTTCCATTATTATCGAGATCACCCTAAAACAATTGGAAAAACTCTATTTTTTAAGAAAGTAGGATACACATTTTAGCAGGCACCACTATAGGAAGACAGACGTGGATGGAGACATAGAAAATGACATATCAGAGTGGAATGGAGTCATATTCCCTGGTGAAGTGGGGTGGGAACTGGAAGAAGACAGCGTATCTCCTGATAAAATCCTGGAAGGACTCAGGTATTAGAGGTATGATATAACAGGAAGGCAGAGGTGAGGCTGGGAGCTTCCACAGAGTGTTAAGAAATCTGTATAAGGAGCACTTATGTAGATTCCTAATCCTCACCAGTTAGGTATGAGAGAACTCCACTGATACCTCTGCAGAAGATAAGAGAATATTTTTCTAGAGAAATTGAATCAATGAGGTTCTGAACTTGAGGATACCAGATATAAGAAGGGCAGCAACAAGATATCTCAGGGAAGTCAGGGAGATGAAGTCAAAGTCTACACATTGAACAGTCAGATCTTTAGCCTTTCCCCCATTTCCAGCAGAAGACCAGCAACCAGCTTATACCCAATTAGGCAGGAATCCAGAGTTTCTTTTCTAGAGAATGTGGATCACCTCACAGGAAAGGTTACAGAGAGGGACGCTGGGGATCCTCAGTGAAAATACAAGATTGCCCTTTGGTGAAGCCAGGAAGTTTGTGTTTCAAACCAGTGTTTTAGCACCTTATTCTTTAATATGAGCACAAAAGTTGACCAGACATATGAGAACAGTCTCCATCATGAAAAAAGAAGCAAAATAAATAATACAGATTGAAAAATGAAGCTGGAGGAAATAGAGTATTACAAGGAGCAGAAGATAACTTGATACTTTAAAAATATCCTTGGAGAGATAAGACTAAAAGATGTTTCTATGAAGCAAAAATGGAATGTTCAATTACAGAACAATCACAGGACAAGAAAAGGCTCTTGGGAATTAGAAATTAAAAATACTATTAAAAAAATTAAAAATCAGTAAAAGAGTTGGATCCTGAAGTAGAAGAAATATCCTAAAGTAGTAGAAAGAGGAACAGCAGTAAGAAAAGAGATGGTGATTACTTCTGGAGGATCATTTCAGGAATTCTAATAGGCCATAAGAAAAGTATTGAGCATGAGAATGGCATTGGACTTCTCTACAGAAACGCTGGGATCTAGAAAACAATGAAATTGTGCCTTAAATATTTTAAATAAAAATAATTTGCAACCCAGAATCTGCATACTCAGCCAAATAAAATAAGAAACTGAGTGAAAATATTTTCAGATGTGAAGTTTGGATAGCTCCCACTCCCTTGGATGCTATTTCAGTTTAGAAGTTGCTCCAAGGAAGAGGAAAGTCATGGGTTCTGGTCACTGGGAATCCCACATAGGCAGAGGGAACCCATAGGGTCATAGTGAAAGGAGACCTGAGATGGCAGAAGGGGAGCGGGCCTAGTGAGCAGCTGGCCTTGGGTGGAGCAAGCAGAGGGAGAGGACCTCTGGAGGGGGACTTCTGTACAAAACAAAACCCACTAAACACATGAAAAACACAAGAGCTACCGTATCTGAAAAGTTTGATCATAAGAGTGTAGAGATATTTTAAGTTCAAAGAAAGAGAAGCAAATCAAAAAGTGGCATGTGATGAGGAAAGGTAGGGAATAGGCTTGCAGAGACAAGATGAACTAGAGCAGGGTGTGTATCTGTATGGGGGTATGGAGAGGCATATGAGCCTCCCAGTGGACTTAGGTCTAAGTAACTGCAAGGGTGATACTGCCGTCAATTTATCTAGGCAATCCTGTTGTTAATACAGATTTCAGAAGAAGCATCAAAGGCTGAGTTTTAGTACTTTATGTTTGGGTAGTCTATTAAATATCTGTGTGGAGATGTCATTTAACAATTGAATATATAGGTTTGGAGATCAGGAGTGAGGTCAAGGATATATCTCCTTTCTCTCTCTCTCTCTCTCCCTCTCTCTCTCTCTCTCTCTCTCTATATATATATATGTATATATATATATTTTAAGACTCAAGAATAAATATCAAAGAAATGAATGTGGATAGAGAAGAGAACCAAAGAGCAAGCCCTGGAGCTCTCTAGAATAAGAGGGACAAGTAATGAAGGGAGCCATCAGTACTATTGAAGGGAGAGGGAATATGGTGTCCTCATAGCCAAATGAAGAAAGTGTATCCAAGAAGGAGTCATCAACTCTCAAATGCTGCCAGTAAGTCAAGAAAGATGAATACTCAGAGTTGGCTTTTGGACTTAGCAACACAGAGGTCATAGATGTCCTTGATTGGAACAATTTCAGTAGGTAGAGGAGATGAGGCCTGGTCAGGGCAGGTTTACCTCAGTCAAATGAAGCCCAGTTGGGATAGGTTTGAGGTAGCTTTTCTAAGGGATTTTTCTATACATGGCATTTTAAAAATGAGGAGTATTTGGTGGAGGTAGTAGGTTCAAACATTTTAAGATGAGAGAAGCAATAGCATGTCTGTAGGCTGATAGGAATTATCCAGCAGAGATGGAAAAATTGATGATGTAGAAGAGAAATGGTATTTTCTAGAGTGATGTGTTTGAGCAGTTGAGAGGGATAGGATTTAGTGCGTCTGTGGAGGGACTGGCAACTAAGATGAGCATGGGAAAAAGAAATCAGGGTCAGCAGTTGGAAGTGAGGATGGGTGAGGTGCTGCAGGTTCGGGTGAGGAGAAAATGTGAGATACTAGAAGAGTGTGAAGAGAAAATGAATATAGAAAATATGGTGTGACTGCCAGTTAACAGGAAAGACCAACTTGATGTTTGTGGTCATGAATTTTAAGAAAGACCAAACAGTGTGGTTGTGTACTTTTTTCTAGCCTGATTCAACTCCGAGAGTGCAGACACAAAGTAGGTAGAGAACTGTACGTATTCTTATGTTTTTGCCATGAGAATTTGATCAGACAGAGAGAGGCAAGAGAGTTGAGGGTGTATGCACAGGAGCAATTAGAATGATTGACCGGAATTTAAGCTGAAGATGGAGTGAAACAAGGACATCGTGGAGGATCAAAAACTGTGAAAAGGTGGAAGATTTAATAGACTAGGAATCTAATGTGGTTGAAGGACTGAGGAATTTCAGTATCACAAGGAGGCATCTGAAAGATGAGAGCTGTTACCAGACAGTGGAAAGTGTGAAATTAATTAGAATCTGATTCCTTCTCAGTTCTGCTCAAATAGTATCTCTTCCATAAAGCCTTCCTTGATTCCTCAAGGACTTCACCTCTCATTCCATCCAATTTCCAGTGAACTATATATATATATTTGTTTTATCTTCCACTAATGAGTGTAAGGTCATTCAAGGAAAAAGCTCTAAATATTCTTGTTTACATCCAATCTGTAGCATTCTTAGGTCAGATTCTTGTTCCTAGACTCAAAAAACTTTCAGATTTAAATAAGGTGAGAGATAAGAAAGATGTGCAGATGTTTCAGGTTGGGCTTCCCAGGAAGTAGATTTTGATGTGGAGGTTAGCAGTCAGGTAATTTCATAGGGAGTGTCTTTGGATCAGAGCTGATGGCAGGCAGGAAAAGGAAATGAAATAAGGCAGAGAGAGAAGTCAAGCTGTAGTGCAGGTTCAATGACAGTCTCAGCTAACTTCTGAGGAGCTCTGGAGACGCAGTGGCCTTTTAGAGATCCTCAGCACCTGTGTAGGTCAAACATAGGATGTAGGACAGCTGGAGGGGCAGCTGAGGCTGTTCTGCAGTGGCTGACAGCTGTCCCAGCAGCTGGGGCAACACATCCTCCTGAAAGGGAACTAGGTGGCATATTACAGTGTTCATCACAGCAGTTCCATTGTTTCAAAATTTTCTGGGGAGTAAGAACAAATAAAGACTTCTATTTTCAGAGGAAGTGGGAAAAGGGTGAGATTTCTATGAGTGAAGACTGTGGGAGGTGTGGCAAGTTTCAGAGAGGAAGTGGTGTGAAATAAATTTTGGCATAGTTTCACTTGCTTGTTATGGTATCTTCCTTTCTTTATGACACATCTGTCTTTTTGCCCAGTTAGTAGGAAAGAATGCTGTTTTTTAAATCATCACAACGGTTTTGCTCTTTTTTATTATTTTGGGTTTTGTTTTTTATTTTTGTTTTACCAGAATGTCTCAGATTCCGAGCCAAGTCTGTCACTCCAGCTAATTTTCTTTGATGGGGAAGAGGCATTCTTTCACTGGTCTCCTCAAGATTCTCTGTATGGGTCTCGACACTTAGCTCTGAAGATGGCATCAACCCCGCACCCACCTGGAGCGAGAGGCAGGAACCAACTTCATGGCATGGTTAGTGTGGGAAGTTTCCATGGTGCTACCTCCAAAGCAGAGGCTACCAAAGCCAAGTACAGACCTAGAGGTGCCACAAAATCCTTGGAGCAGAGTGTTTATAATAGAACATTCCTTGGCAGGCATTAGGCTTTTGAGGAATCCCAGAGCTACAAAGAATAATTCTGGGTTAGAAGCCATGTTTGGCTGAGTTGAATTGAAATGATGTAAAAAAAAATCAGATCAAGGAACTAATGGTTTGGTTTGTTGGAAGCACATTCCCTAAGTACTGTATAGGGGTAGAGAGAGCAGATCCCTTCTTTGAAGCCTTTAAAGAGAGGAGGCTAGGGTCCTGGAAATGGAGAAAGAATGGGATGGAAGCTGAGGCATTTTCTCATTGTCTTTAAAGTATTACAGTGGCTCCAGTGTGTGCATGATATTTTGATCTGCTGGTTCGATGTGGAATTTTTGACATGAGTATGGGGGTATTTTGATGCTGCCTTAAAACCCTGCTACTGAGTAATGGGTGCAGCACACGGCCTCATTTTCATCCTCATTCCTGGACCTACGCTCCATCCTGATTCCCTCACCCTGCCCTTGAACCCTCTACTCACTCTGAATATCATCCCATATTTGATTTTTACCCTGTCCTTCAGTCCAGTTACCCTCACTAACTCCAGCTGTTAACTTCCTGTACCCTCAAAACTTCATTCTTCCCAGTGTTCATCCATCCCTGACCCTCACCCCATCTGTAAACCAAAACCTAGTCCTAACCCCTCCACTCTCCTTCTCATCTATGACCTTTTCCCTATTACTGACCTTCACCATGTAAGTCAGACTGGCCACATTTGATGTCCTTTATGTCTTTATCTGGCATATTTTTCGTTAGCAGTTTATCCCCTATGTCCATTAGCACCTCAGAATAGGTCGAGCAATAGAATCAACACTTCATTCATTCACCTGTACCCAAGTTGATATAAGGGTTCAGGGAAGGAGAGACCTGGTTGGTCAGTAGTAGGAGCAAAGTTAGTTATTTATCAGTTCAAATATATGAATCCACAGTGATGGCAAAAACCATTTCCCCCCAGGGGCAGAGGGAATCTTAATAGCCTGTTCAACCTTGTTGAAACAATCTCATTTTTTTTCACACTGCATGTCTCTAATTATCATTCATGAATTTATGTACTATCTTTAAAAAATCACAGATCCTGAGAATATTTATCTCCTCTGTGTTGATATCATTTGTAGACATTTATCCACACATAATTTTACTAACATAAATCAGGAGGCTTTAATCTAGAGAATAGTCTACAGGGAGTTCTCGAGCTTGCTGCTGTTTTATGGCTCAGGTAAGTTAAGGTATTCTGGTTTCATTTGAAGGTTTATAACCAGAAGAGAGTCTATAAGTCTCTCTTAGCTAGTTTGAGCTCTTCATCTGATATACTATAAACTGGAGATCCAGAGACACAATATTATATATCCTATTTGCAAGGGATTTTTCTGATCTGGGGCTTGACCAATAGCTACTTTCCAATTGCTCTCCCATAGACATTTGTATCATTACATATTAAGGAGAAAATGGCTAATCAGAATGGAATAGAAAGTCAGACAGGCTTGGATTCCCATCTTAAAATAAAGCATTCTTTTTAAATCTGTGAATTATGTTTCCAAATGTCCCCCTTCTAATTTATCCTCAGTGTTTCTGGGGGTATATACACAAATAATCACCACTTTGCCATTTGTTCACATTGTCTAAAGAAGATTTTAAAAGTTCTCTAAAGTAATTAGCATACAAGGTTGTCAGATTTTTTGTTTTTTTATACAACTCCTCAAATTATTCTCAATTAATAAGATGTAATTAGCTTTAACTGACTGTTCTTCACTGTTGATGAATATGAAACATGTCTTGGTGACTGTGATTAAACAGTATCTTTCTCTCTTAGGATTTATTGGTCTTGTTGGATTTACTTGGAGCTCCAAATCCAACATTTCCCAATTTTTTCCCAAACACTGCCCGATGGTTTAATAGACTTCAGGCAATTGGTAAGTGCCTCTGCCAGTAGAGAATAAAATGTGGCTTCTTCCTGCTGACAAACACTACATTTTAAAATACAAAATTATTTTTTGCATGTGTGATTTAAATATGAAATATACTACTAGCTTTTTTCTTGGTCTATTGACTAGCTTATTATTCATCTCTTTTAATAGGTCCAGTTTATTTTCCTGCATAAAACTGTAGTTTGAAATGGAAACATACAGTATTACATTTTACCTTTGCATATCCTTAGGAATAGCTTGCAAATATTTTTCCCAGAGTCCTGTGTGATACACATAGAATGCATTTCTAGAGAAAACTACCCAGCAAAGCATGTTAACTAATGATAAATGTTATGTCCCACTGACACCAAAAGCTATTCTTTAAGTTTTTATTCTTTTCCATCTTTTATCATCTACTTTCTGTCTTATCCAGGCATTATTTTCTTTTCAATGCAAAATTACCACCTCTGGTAGTTTTTCAAAAAAAAAAAAGCGATCAGGAGGCAAGAGAAAGAGCTGTCCAGAGCCACTTGGAAGAAGATTTAGAGTTAAACAGATAAGAGTGGGCTAGGACAGACTAGGCTGGGCCAGGCCAAGAAACATAGGTAGCTATGGTTCCAGAGAGAGGCATGGGGCCTGAAGAAGGAAAAGGAGAATGGTTTCTTCCTCTCATGTTCCCATCCTCCCAAAACAAAGCAAAATGGGACATAAAACAAACCACAGAGTTATGAAGGAAAGAAGAGAATGAGATGAATCTTTATTTGTAGAAGCTAGATCATAAGGGTGCTTTTGAGGCAAGAACTCCATACTAGAAATTCCCTATATGACACACATGCACTTCTCAGAGCAAGACAGAGTTGTATTCTGAGCAATGGGAAATGCTGTGGCATTTTAGCTTACACTTTTGCCATGAACTAAGAATCTGCCAATATCCAAATCTAAATTAATGTGGGAGAAACTTTGGCTTGAACTTCCGATGCTCATTTTTGGCAAATTTCAATTCCTAGTTTAAAATAATTACTATGATGGCATTGTTGATATAAACTTTTTGGGCCTCTTTCTTGTACCATGTTTTCCTTACTTTTGATGGTGGACTCCAGAAATTGAGTTTGCCTTCTTTCAAGGGCTTTGTGCACTTTTCTTATTGTTTTGTACCAAAACGGGCATATATCAATAACTTATAGTTTACTGCAATTTTTTTTTTTTTGGTACCTGGGATTGAACTTGGGTCCTTGTGCTTGCACAGCAAGCAGCAAAACCACTGAACTAAATCCCCGGCCCAGTTTACTGCGATTTTAACACATTGTGCTTCCCTTCCTCATAGTATTTACACTTCAAATGATATCTCTAATGTACAAGGCAAAACTGTATCCTATGATAAAAATTACAGATATCAATAAACAGATAGGAATATTGTCTTGGTGGTGGTTACAACCTTCCAATATTCCTAAAAACCTATTGCATATGCTTGTTTACTAAATAATCTAGTTTTCACTTTTAGATTTAGCAATTCAAAAATAATTGCAGACTGGGGATATAGCTTATTTTATTTTATTTTATTTTATTTTTTCCCCCATTAACTTTATTGGTACATTTTAGGTATAAAATACAGTTACATTCATCATTGGGATCTTGTACCTTTACATGAGTATCTTGGTTCTTATTTTTTTCACCTTCCTTTGCCCTCCCTTCACCACCTCCACCCTTCCCTATTTGCAAAGACCTTGTTTCCATTTTTTTCCTCTTCTCATATTTTTTCCTTTCCCTTTTATCCCTTCCCCTACCCCTCCCAATTACCCTGCTCTTTTAGACCTTTTCTTCCTGTTACACAATATCAGTTATACATTTTTTAAATTACAATATTAAGATCTAGGAGACATTACCACAGATTTTACAGAATTTAAAAGGATATAGAAAGCATATTACAAAAATCTTTTTTGAAATAAATTTGACAACTTCTAAGAAGTAACTTAGGAGACAAATTAATGAAACTAACTCTGGAGGAAATATAAAATTTGAATAGCACCTATTAAAGAAAGTATATTCCTAGCTTGAAAACCTACTTATATGACAACAGCAGGCTCATAAACATTTTAACTGATAAATTATATCAAACATTTAAAGCAGAAAAAAGAAGGAACACTTCTCCCCTCATTTTAGGAACTCAACATTGTGCTAATCCTAAAACTGGATAAAGATAATAGAAGAAAAAGGTATGAACTTAGATAGAAATTTGTTTAACAAAACAAACTCTTAGAAGTCAGATCTGGCAGTATGTAGAAAGTGGTTTTGTTATAGGGATGGCAGTGTTGGTTCAGCATTGGAAGATCCACCCCCAAAAGTCATCATTTTAACAGAGGAAAGAAGAAAGCCATATGATCCTGTCACTAGTTGGAGAAAGAGTATTGGACTAAATTCTACAGCTGTTCATGGTAAAAGCTATCAGGAGACTAGAAGTAGAACAGAACGTTCTCAACAGATCAAAGACATGTACTCCATACTTCCAACAAAAACTCCTTCTATGAATGGAGACGATACAATGCATTCTCCCTAAAGTGGGGAACAAGGGCATATATGCCTACTCTTCATCTGTCCATTAGACTTTGAAACATAGGTCTAAACCAAAATAGTCTAGTAATAAAATGACACAACTAGGATAGCATTGGCACAGCAGAAGCAAAATCTTTATATGTAGATGAAATGATCATCTACCGAGAAAATACTAAGAAATCTCTAGGAGCCCCTAGAACTTGTATTTGAATTTAGCAGGATTAGAAAACACAAGGTATATATAAAAATTCAGGTCTGTGTATACTTGTATAGCTTAGTGGTAGAGTGCTTGCCTAGTATGCATGAAACCCTGGGTTCAAGCCCCAGTATAGGAATAAAACATAACTAAACAAAATAAAAAAAATCACAACAAAACAAAAAACAGCTATTCTAATCTTGTATCATCTTGTAACATAGAACACTTAGATTACATATAACATATGGGTTATATGGTGCAAGATGACAAGAGTGATGGAATGCAGGATTGTGATTCTTAAACTTCACTGTGCATCTGAATTTCCTAGAGGTCTAAAATCACTGATTTCTACCCCAAATTTTTGATGTGGTAGGTCTGAGTTGGGGCCAGATAATTTGCATCTCCAACTAGTTCCCAGATGGTGCTTTTAGGCTGCAGATCAAGAACCTCACTTTGAGAAGCACTGATGTAGGTCTCAGTAGTACCCCTTTTCCCATAGAATGGTCACATGATATACTTCATCCTATTCTGTTTGAGTATTCCACTTAAGCCCCACATGTCCCATTAAGCATTCTTCACACAGCATCTGGTCCTATAAACATCTACAGCTGAACCTCTTCTCCCCACTTCATTGCTCATTTTTTATCTCTCCATTGTTCTGTTGAGTTTCTCCTTCTGTGGAGTTGTCACCATAATTCAAGAGCCACATGTGAATCTTCTTTCTTTCTACTCCAAAATGTACATACCAACTTCAGTTCAGATGTTTATTGTCACAAGCATGGACAAACTTATTAGTGCATAATATTTTAAAAGTGATGCCAGCGTGTGCTAAGATTTCTAACTCCTTAATTGAGGATGCATTCTGAGTCTTGATCAGATAAAAAAAATAGATGTTCATCTACTATCTAATTGTCATCTGCAGAACATGAACTCCATGAACTGGGTTTGCTCAAGGATCATTCTTTGGAGAGGAAGTATTTCCAGAATTTTGGTTCTGGAGGTATTATTCAAGATGACCATATTCCATTTTTAAGAAAAGGTAATATGTATGTATGTACCTATGCGTGTTCATGTGCATTTTTTACCTATTAGATTTTATATTCATTTTGAAATTTCAGGACTGCACAACACTTATTCACCTTAAAGTAGACCAAGATCAATATTTTCAGCTATTCCTCATTCCCAAACCTTATTTCGCTTCCTGTCATCAGATTCCTGTAGCAGTGAAATTTTCCAGATCTCTAATTGCTGCGTACATTTGAGAAGCAAACTGAACATGAATAATAATTGGTGCATCCTGAATTACTAAGACCATCCTTCCTTAAAGATTGACTACATTAAAATAACATGCTAATAATTTGAACCAATCCAAAAGTATTTTTAAATGATCTAAAAATAGGCAAAGTTAATTTGAATGTGAACCAATCATTAAAAAGGAAGTATATATGTTATGCTATAATTAAGCTTTGACCAATATGTGTCTTCTGATTATGTGCCTGTAAGATAGAAGCCAGACGACTGAACCAAATTAAAGGAGAGGGAAGAAGATTAGATATTCCCTCACCTGATCTTTATTCATCCCAGGTATGATTCAGATATGAAATGTATCTTTACATTTACAAAAGCTTTCACACCCCCTTATTCCCTTGCAGTTACCTTACCAAGGGACAGAATCTGCCATTGCTCTTTGGTGTGGAGGAATGACCAGCCTGAAAGTAACTGCTCTTTTCCCAGTCCTGCCCTTCTCAGGGGACAGTTTCAATTTAGCCTTTTCTTCATGTCAGACTCCTGAGAGCAGTCCTCACTTGGGCCTTTTTCCCCGGTCCATGTCCGTATCTCACACACATTCATTTTTAGGTCTTAGGAGATGTCTAAATATAATACTGAGATATAGTCCTGGACCCTCTTACTAGTTCCTACTCCCCTTGATTTATAGCAATCTATAAATCTATGAATTTGAGGAACCATTAAATTGAGTTAATTGATAACTTTAAGCATCATGCCATCTCATTGTTTCTATTTTCTCATGGAAATCGTTCCAAATCTTTGAGGACACATGTATTTTTTTTCACTTAGTATATCTATTATATTGCACTTAGTATATCTATTAAAGTCCATATCTCATTGACATCCTGCCATCCTTTTTTATGGAGTTAGATTGTATTCTTGTATGTTGTGTAACTCTGATGTTGTCTGGTCAATAGGGAAGCAATATCCTTGTAATGAGATGGTGGAAGTCTAAATCAACCCAAGGACTCTTGCCATAGCTTTCCTACTGGTCTCCAGATTTTGTTCTTGCTACTCTATTTGTTGTAGAGGAGATAGAGTTATCTTAAAAATATAAATCAAATTATGTTACTTACTATTTTAAAATTCTGATTGTTTGCCATCTGGTAGAACAAGATGGAAAGTCTTTACTATGGCCTACAGTGGCCTCCATTTCTGCCTCTGTTCTGAGTAGTACCTCCTACTTCTCTTTCTAACTGTTGCCCTGGTCCAGCCATACTGGCTACCTTGCTGGTCTCCAAGGAGGACAAGCACACTTTTGCCTCAGGACCTTTGCAGTTGGTAATACTGGTGCCTGCCATGCTCATCACTAGATCTTTGCATGGCTTCCTTCCCCATTGGTGTGTGTCTCCATTTAAATATTGGCTTCTCAAGGATGACTTCTGTGACATTAAATACCCCTCTCTCAGCCCTACAGCCTGTCCCCCATTGTTTATTCCCTCACCTTGTTTTATTATTCCTAATTAGCTTCATCACTTCCCAAAATTATGTTTTATATGTTTACTTGCTGCTTTCTCCCTTGGAATTTAAGCTCTGTATGGGCAGAGCTTTGCCTTTACACTAATGAAACTTCAATTCCTAGAACCAGACCTGGTAGGTAGTAGGTGCTATGTAATTATTTGCTGAATGAATTACCATTTGTTTAATGAGTGAATACTTTTGGAGAAGCAAGGTAAAATACAAGAAGTGCACAGGAGGGCTGGGGATTTAGCTCAGTGGTGCCGCTGCCTGCTTCGCAAGTGCAAAGTCCCGAGTTCGATCCCTGGTACCAAAAAAAAAAAAAAAAGAAAGAAAGAAAGAAAAAGAAGAAGTGCACAGGAGATAATGAATCATCAAGTGTCTTTATACAGTACAGAGCTCCCTCTGTTTGCAAAATGTTAATTTCTAGTTTATTCATTGGAAACATGCACCAAATTACAAGTCAGTTCCTTCTTACTAGGTGTTCCAATTCTGCATCTGATACCATCTCCTTTCCCTGAAGTCTGGCACACCATGGATGACAATGAAGAAAATCTGGATGAGTCGACCATTGACAATCTAAACAAAATCATACAAGTGTTTGTGTTGGAATATCTTCATTTGTAATATTTTGATTTAGTTCATTGTAATTGCCTCTATATCAAATTCAAAAGTCAAAACATCATTTAAAATAATCTGATCTGTAAGTGTCTTTGAATATGTGATCAATGAGTCATAGAATTATATATTTTCAATTGCTCATTAATTTTTATCTAGAGATAAAAAGGGAACATGTAAAGAAAACAAAACAAATATCTTTTGAAAACTCATTTAGATAAAGACTACAAAATGAAACCAGATTCACTTATTCAATACCATAGACTTTCAAACAGTACTAAATATGATGATGGTGTGCAATATATAGCCTTAGTTTTATGATTTTTTTCATACTTGGGAATCTATTATACAATACAAAATGGAGATGTGCTTTGAAGGCTTTCAGCCTTCTTTGAGAAATCTTCATAGGGTTAATTTTAAGGAAATTAAAATCAGAATTAAATGCCATGTTGTGAATTTCTTTTCATATACATATGTATAGATGAAAAAGTATTTAATGCCTAGTCCAAGTTTTAGTTTTACAACTTTAGCATTTTATTGTGAAAACAGTTTAGTAAATAAAAAAATCATTAAAAAATGGATAATGAGAAAAGTGCAATTGCATTGTATTAACAGAATATTCATTGCCTCTATATTTTTCTCATATTTTATTTATTTATTTTTATTTTTAATTTTTTTGCTACCTGGGATAGAACTTGGGACCTTGCACTTGTGAGGCAGGGGCCGGAACCACTGAGCTAAATCCCTGGCCCTATTTTATTTATTTTTGAGATAAAGTCTTACTATATATTCCAGCCTGGCCTTGAACTCACTACGTAGCCCAGGTTGGGCTCGAACTTGCAGCCATTCTCCTACCTCCGCCTCTGGAGTGCTGGGATTACAGCTGTGCATCACAATACCCAGTTAATTTTCTCACATTTTATACATGGGAGTAATAAAATTGTACGTATAATTTTTAAAAACTTCTCCCTCCACAAACTGTATAATTACCATATATTTGCTGTTTTGGTCTTGGATTGAGACAAAGTCAGAAAAAGACCATCGATTGTGACCTCTAGAGTCAACGTTCAGGTAACACAGTAGTAGCTAGTTAAGACAGTGTTTGTAAATTGTATTGTATCCATGTTTGGTTACTTACAGTGTACTTCTTTCTGGTAATTCATAAGCATGATGGGATGTCTTTAGTGATAGGAAACAATTATCTAAAAATATAAATTTGACCAACTGAACAATCATGAAATTGATCCTGCCCTATAGGTGATGTTAGTTATTCCCTCTACAGAGCAGACATTGAGAAAATTCACATTGAATTATTCTGTCCAGGCTCTGTAGAGAGTGATACAGATCCACTGAATGGGATAGCAAAGCCAGCTTTAAGTTCAATGACAGTGGAAGTCACTAGGAAGTAATTTACTTGCTAAAACATACTTTCCAGGTAAGAAAAGGATATTTACTAAAAGTATACTAAAGGATATTTATTAAAAGTACATTTACTTTTATTTTTATGACTGCATCCAATTATATGCAAAAATATAGCCTGAATTTTATATATACATATAAAACATTATCTGTAGTTTCATGTTGATATATTTTACAGAATTAGATTTTTCTAGGATTTTTTATTTTACAAAACCTTCTAAAGCTTTGTAATGAATGTTGTGCCTTTTTAAGTTAATAACTTTAAACTCTAACACTTACTGAGCACTAATTCTGTGCCAGAATTGAGTGCTTTATGTTTTTACCAACTTTATCCACATGCCAATCCTACAAGGTAGGTGGTATTATTAACCTCATTTTATGATGCTTAAATGTGTTCTTCAAGATCATGTAGCTAAAATGTGGAAACAGTGGGATTTGAATTCAAGCAGTAATGATCTGGACCACTATAAAGTATTGCCTCTGTAAAAAACTTGCAGAATATTCTTAATGTCAAATGCAAAGCAACAGTTGTATTCTGAAAATTTTATAGGTCATTCTCTAAGTCTGGGGAAGCAGTCTTGAATCCTTGTTGCCATTATTCACCTGACATGATCCACTTAGACATCAAAGGCACATCATCTCTGTGAAGAATTATTTCTCTACAAGAGCAAAGACTATTTTTGCATTACTATGGACATAACAGAAATCAATACAAGTGGTTCCAGGGCTAAAGAATCTAAGCTACAAAGCAGGATTAAAGGGAGCTGAGTTTTCACAATTGACTTTTTGGATGTGAGAAAATTAAAGGAGTTCAGGAAAAACACTTTTTTGTAGCATTAGGAAAGAAGTGCTTTAGCTTATGATATGATGTGATAAATGGTTTAACTGATGATAAACAGCATGAAAATTTTAAAGGATCCTAAACATTAGTTGACAGTGCTGCACATATAATTTTAAGCAACAATGATAAGCTCCTTTTAAGGCAGAATTAATAGGAGATATACTATAATCTGTTGAGTTGGCATTTGTTGAATTTTTTTTTTTAGAGGAGGTTGGAGGATATGTTTAAATGGGATAAAGGGAAAAGTAAAAACATAAGCAGCTTAATCCAATGAAGGTTTCCTTGCTTTGAAATGGCACATCCTAAAATTCTCTTCAGTAGAGTTTGCGTTAATATGAGAAAAACAATCATGATGTCATAAAGGGAGGCATTTTAAGGTATTAACTTTGATATTAATCTGTGAAATATGTTTTGTATAATTCATGTCAGTCAAAAATATTACTTTTTGAAAATTATAGCTGTGAAGTGCTCCATAAACATTATGTTGCATTTGGAATTTTTCTATGTGCATTTTGGAGCATTTTATAGCTCCTAAGAGAATAATTTGTATGTTTCACCTATTACTGTCAACCCTCCAAATATACAGGGCCATTTTTCTTCTTCAAGAGAAGTGAGTTCAAAGGAAACTATTCATAAGAGAGTATTCATAACCTTGGCATCCAAAAAAAATCACGAGCCTGTTATTGTAGCTTGAGGGCTGTGGCTAGAAGAGAAAAGACAGATCCTTCAAACATGGAGAAATGTTTTAGATAGTGAAGCAGTTGTCGTTAAGAACAAAGCAGCCCGTGTTTCCAGCTCTGACTCCAAATCTTCAAACAGTTTACTTCATGAAGCTTCTTTCTTCCATCAAAGAAATACATTCATTATGGCGCTGCAGTAAAATCATGTGAAAAGTGAATATTTGCTCCATTAGCTTGGCCCAGCTGGAGATGATTACTTTGCATAAAGAAGGACAGACAAGACTCCACTTCATTTCTTTATTACATACACAGCCCTGCATGAGGTTTGGTCTTGGTCTATTCTGCTGAACATCACCTCTCAGTTCCTTTGCAAGACTTAAGTCTGAGGAATGAAGATGTGGAGGTAAAGGAAGTACAGAGGAGATGAGGGAGACTGTTCAGAGCAGCCCCTGTTATTTAAGCAAAGCTAATGCAGGAAGCTTGAAGAAAATACTTAAATCTGCTATTCATGAAGATATGGGCTGCTCTTCAAAGCCGGACTTCCTATCAACTTTTGGTTTCAAAGATGAATGTAGGAAAGATTGAGGTTTCACTCTGAGTTTCAGGATCACTTTCTATGCAGCCTGATACTCTGAAAGTAGTTTTGAAGTGGTTTGACTTCCTCCCCTTACTTCCCCCTTCTGTCTAAGATGCCTAAGGTACATCTTTTTCAGCCTTCAAAGAGCATTTACTGCTTTGTTGCAAGGGGCAGATGTCACTGCGGAAAGCCCCTGCTGCGTTTCATGGAAGGGCTGAGGTGGAAAGCAGTGGTGGTTAGCTAGTTGAGCTGGTAGGGTGGTGTAGAATCCCCCTCAAATCCTCCTCCACATCAGAATTGCCCCCAGACTCCTGGCAAGACATCCCGCAGCAATAATTTATGACATTTTGAAGAGGGCTGGGAAGAAAGGACTGTTTGTGTCGTGACTGTATCCTTCAGCCTGCATTTGGTTGGTGTGTTCACGCAATATGAAGTCATCTTACAGAGCTGCTCACATTTCAAAGGCAATGCGTGGAATGGAGCCCATTCTCTTGACAGACAGATCCAGACTTGCCAGGGGAGAGTTTAGATCATTTCTTTGAGAATTAATATTAAGAGCACACAGTTGCCAAGAAGAAAAAGTAATGGCTTAAAGCAAAAATAGAATACCCACATTCACAAAGATGACAAAAGTAACATAAAAGTAGGTTTAAAAACTGATATAGTACTGGAAACTTTATTCTCTTACGTTTATTTAGCACTGTGTAGTCCTGGAGGTCCCTGACCTTCATGGATTTGATATTTGTGGTTTTGGCTAGCAAAGAATGACATGTAGTAAATTCATGTGTTTGAAGGGCTCAGCACGGAGAAGTAAATGAGTGTATAACTGAGTCTGGCCATCAGTTTCACTGCTGTTCTGTCTTTATCCTTGCAGGAATGCTTGGGTTCATTTCCTTCTATAAATGAACCCCCCCACCCCCCAATTCATGTACCCTAGACCAACTTTGCTGGAGATGTAAGTGAAGAAGTTTGGAAAATTAAGGGCTGCAGAGGGTAGTGATTTTAATCCTTTATTGGTAGAAGAATTAAGAGTATGAAAAGATCACTTAAAATTTGCTTATTTTTTGTCTTTTTAATGGGGCAAATTATATGCAACAATGGTATTCCATTTTAGTTTATGCTAGAGTTATTTTATCTCAAGTAATTTATTGTGATAATCCTTTTATAGGTTTACTACTGTTAGAATTCTCATTTTTCAAAGAAATGAACACAGAAATTAATTTATTCTCAGTCAATGCTAAGAGTAGACTCTAGGGGATTTAACTTCTGATACATGACTGGACTAATTTCAGCACAGCTGTAAGGGGTATTAGAGATTTTCTACTTTATCAGTTTTTAGCTGGGAGTAGTACCACTCTGGTAGGCGGCATTTAGGTAGGTGTGTGCGTGTGTGTGTGTGTGTGTGTGTGTGTGTGTGTATGTATAGTGGATTGTGGTGGATACTTAATAGTCATAAAGATAGAGTGTGTCTCACATTTGACGGGAAGGGACAAAAACAAATGTTCAGGACCATTTGTACAATAAAGAATTGTCCTAATACAGTGCAAGTTGTACCCTCATTGAGAAACATGGGCCATTTTTCAAAATCCTTCATTTTAGAGGTTCAGATACGAAGATACAGAGAATATGTATCCTTTAGAGATGAGGAAGGGAATCAGGGTGGGAGGGGAGGTTTTGCAAGGGGGTAAAGAGATAAAAATGATCCAGATATGCTGTATACATGTACTAATTCTCCCAAACAAACATAACTATTATCTATTGCAAACATACATGAGTAAAAAAGATTTTTTTGATTGCAAGTGACAAAAATACCGATTCAAACTTACCTCAGCAAAAAAGGAAACTTATTTCATATGTTTAGCTTTGAATCCAGAACCTGATCTTTCCTTATCCATCTGCTCTGCTCTCCTCTGAGTAGGTTCTAAACCAAAGTAAGCACTTCATCTTGGGGGTAAGACAGATGCCAATAGCCCCAGGTTCATAATTCATGAGTCCAGTTCCAGGAAAAGAAAATACCTGTCCTCTGTGCAACAGTCCCACAGAGTCCTAGGCCTGATTGACA